GACGGGGTTTCACCATGTTGACCAGGATGGTCTCGAACTCTTGACCTCGTGATCCACCCGCCTCGGCCTCCCAAAGTGCTGGGATTACAGGCGTGAGCCACCGCGCCCGGCCACCCAATCCTTATCTCTTATTTTAGAAGGGAACTTCCCTACTCGCCCCCCACATCTAACTCTGTCCTTTACTGCACAGCCCCTACTGGGAAGCTGTCAGGAATGCCAGCCCTCTACCCCTCTTCCTTCGTGGCTCCATCAGACTGGGTCTGGAAGGGTTCATAAGGAAGCTCATCAAAGGAGTTATTTTTACAGCAACAACCTTCCAAATCAGGGAGAGACACCTCTGCCAAGGGGGACCCCCAGGCTCCCCCATTCTGTCCCGTCTCTCCCTCCGGAAACCCTAGGGGCAGAAGCACTTGTAAGTGGGATGAAAGGGACCTCGCCGCAGGGCGGCTCCGGAGGCGCTTTTATGTCCCGGTTCCCAGGCGCTAAGGACGTGTCCAGACAGCCACCCCCAGCCCCCGGGGCTGGCCCCACTTCTTTACGCTCCGGCGGGAACTGAGACTTGCTTTCTCCTCTAGCCTGTCCCCGCCAGCCGCGGTACGGGTGTCCCACCCCAAACCCCCAGCCCAGGGGCGAGGGAAACCGTGAGGCAGGGAAAACCTGAGCGGCATGCACAGCTCCTACCGGCCCAGTCAAATGCATCCTGCCTAGTAGCCCCAGAGACTAAAAACCCCTAGTGCCCCATCTTCCTGTCCCTGCACCACTTTTCCTCCCCCCTGAATAAATATGCACCTTCCCCTCTTCCTCAAGCCACCCCCAAGGACGTCAGACCTGGCGGCTCGCATCCAGCGCACCCCGGGAGACCTGCAGGGAGGCGACACCGAGGAGCTCAGTTGGAGGGTGCGGCGCTGCCCTCGGCCTCGCGTTTGCCTTTGCCCCCGGGGGGCTCCACTGCGCCGCCGGCCTTTCCCTCGCCCGGGGCCGCCCCGGCAGCCTCCTCCTTGGCGCTCTCGTGGGTTTTCATGTGCTTGGCCAGGTGGTCGCTGCGCATGAAGACGCGGCTGCAGACTGCACAGGGGAACTTCTTGGTGCCGGTGTGGGTCTGGAGGTGGCGCTGCAGCTCGTCTGAGCGCGTGAAGCGTTTGCCGCAGAAAAGCCAGTTGCACACGAAGGGACGGTCGCCGCTGTGCCAGCGCAGGTGCGCCTTCAGGTGCGACGTCTTGGCGTAGGCTTTCCCGCAGCCCGGGATGTGGCAGTTGTGCAAATGCTTCTTCTTGCCCCCATCAGGCCCACATGGAGCTCCTAGTCGCTCCGCCTCCAGACAGTTGGGGCAGCGACAGACGGTCTGGCCTGAGCTGCGGGGCACCGACCGTCGCGAGCCTTTGGGGCGTGCCGCCCCATCTAGGCTGGAATCCAGCCCCTGGGACTCCGGGGCGGCTGCTTCCAAGGCCTTAGCCCCATCGGGCGGCCCCAGGAGATGCTGCCCTCCGGCAGCTGGAAGGAGGTGGTGCGAATGCGGGTGGGGTGTCGGAGCACAAAGCTGGTGGTCTCCTACGTAGCCCCCCAAGCCCGCCTGAAGCGCCCCGGGGTGGCCAGGTGAGGTCAGCGCTCCCTGAGTGTGGGGGAGGTCCATCCAACTTGTGCCCGGATGAAGGTCCCACCACGAGCCATCCTCCGCGCCTGGGTGAGTCGGCCTGAACCACGATTCATAATGGTGTGACATGTCCGGCTGCAGGAGCTTGGAAAAGGGGCCCGGGGCCAAGGGACTGTCGCTTTCCAGGTCCTCGCAGGTTACCCGAGAGGAGGCCCCTGGCAGCTCATAGCCCTGGGAGAAGTCCACCTCCGGGCCCAGCGGGAGGCTCTGCAGCTCTCCAGGCTGCAGCGGGGAGGGGTAGTCCCCAGCCTCAGGGCTCGTGTGGCCCTGGTAAGTTTGGAGAGGCTGCAGGTCGAGGCGCGGCGGGGAGGCGTGCGGCGCTTCCGTGTGCTGGCTGCCCAGAGAGCCGCAGACAGCGGTTAGCATTGCCGGGATCCGGGGTGGGGTGAAGGCAGGGACGGTCAGAGGCACCTCAGACAGGACCTAAAGGAGGCAAAGAAGCGGAGAAGTAAGGGAAATAGCCAGCTCACTTTCCCTCCTAACCCAGGTGCCAGCCCTGCAAAGTTCTCCTCCCTGGCCCCAGGTGTAAAAAAGAAGGATGCACCTCTGGACCCGGACTAGAGATCAGTTCAGAGAATTGGGAGTGAGAGGAAGGGTCCAACATGTGAGGTTCTCATCCAAAGATAGAGGATGATGGAGGTCTGCCTTCCTCTAAGTGATCCCTGCCATAGAACCCAGCACATCCCTTGAGTTGGGCTACTCCCAGGCTGGTAGGTCAGATACACCTACAGCACAGTGCTAGAACCATCCCCACCCCAGCTGCCCAGGCCAGCGCAAGGGGCAGTGGCATTTCCCCCTGCAGACCTGTTGTCAGCCCAAATGAGGATCTAGGCCCATCTGAGCTTCCCCAGTTTAACTCAGGATACAGATGGGGAGAGGGGATGGTCCGTTTATGAAACCCAAAGCTTCAGGTGACCTGCCCCTCAGAAAGCCCCAAAGGGATTCTGAGTCGCTAGAGAAAGAGTTCTCATGCCATTCCCAAAGCATGTCCAGCAATGAAAAGCATTTCACCCCCTACACTGGCCGCCGCCTGGCCTGGTCCAATTGGTCCCACTAAACCGACTTCCATGCCCCTGACCCCTTCCCTCAAGCAGGGACTTCACCTCCCTGGGGAACAACTCTCCAGCCACCAGATACCCCCTGGAATCTAAGAGATACCCCCCACCAGAAAAAAGCTAAATTCCCATCCCTCTCCTGACCCATAGCAGTGCCAGGCAACTCTCTGGCTGCATGGCTTCCCCAGAGAAGAGCTTGACAGCAAGCTCTGGAAGGTACCATTGTGTCCCTTTAAGTGATACAGGGTCAGAGTACAGGAAGAGAAGGGCAACAAGAGAAGCCATAATCACAGAACTTAAGAGCAACAACTTCCCAAAAAGATGATATAAGCGTGTGTATCCCAGGCATGGATCATTTTTTAGAAGCCCCCCAGATGATTCTTATATGGAGCCATTTGCTGAGAACCACTGCTTCAGGCCAATCTTATTTTGAAGAGGAGGAAACTGGCTGAATGACTTGGCACAGTCACTTGGAAACAAGGATGTTCATTTATTCATTCAATCAACCAGGTCTCCTAACTCCTGGACTCCCAGTCTGTTACTCTCTGTAAACCAGTCTTTCTGTAAACCATTAGAACCCTAAAGACCCCCAACCCTTTCTCAACCACATGTCTGTGGCTTGAAGGTCACTCTCTTCTCACCACTTCTCCCTAAGGCCTGGAAGTCCTGGTGCCTCAGCTGGGCAGATTTGTGTGCGTGGGTCTTCTCTATGGTCCGGGAGGAGGCCAGTGATTTAGGGCAGGGTTGTTTCCTTCCCACAGCAGGGTTTAGCTGACCCTACCACCTTCCGCCTCTGGGACCAGGGAGGTGGCACTGATAGCCTGGGAGAGGGAGGGAGAGGAGAACAGGGGGGCCTACTCAGGCTCTGTCAGCTTCACCACAAGAAAGGAACAGGGCGAAGCTGCAGGAGAGGAGCCCCAGGCTGGGGCGGGGCAGCACAGAAGGGGCTGGGCAGGAATTGTGAGGCCGGGGACCCTAACAGCTTTCAGTGCCTGGGAACTGCCCCAGGGGCTGCGGAGTGGGAAGCCTAGGATGATCTGGGCTCCAGAGTGGCTTCTCCAGACAGGCAACCTGAGAGCCCAGGCCTGGGATGCAACGGCCTGCTACCAAGATTTTGGAAACCCAAAGCAGGGTGATTCTCAGGTTCTAACACCCGCCCCACTGGGTAGAAAACTGCCCTTGAGCTGGCTCAGTCTAGCAGAAGACGCAAGACTAAGACTCTGGAAGAGTGGAGGAGGGGGCTAGACCTGAGGGTGATAGGGAGCCCCCCTTAGGCGGCAACCCTTAAGTTGCCTCTGTGGCCTTTGGCCCACCCGCCCCAGACGGGCAGCGCTTTCCCGGAACTGAGAGGAAAGAAGGGAACAGGACTGAGTGCCAAGTATGTGTTCGGTTCACCTCCAGGCCCAGAAAGATGTCAGGAAAGGAGGGAGCACGGCGCACATCGCAGGCTTCTCGCTCCCCGAAGTGGGAGGGCGAGTCGGGGCACCCTTATGCCCCATTCCGCTCTGCCTCTTCGGATCACCGGCTAGTACTCCCAGTTCTCAATGTCCCAGTCCTCTGGTTGTCCCAGTCGCTCCAGTTGCCCCGGTTTCCAGCCTCCTCGATCCTCCAGTCTCTCCCGTCTGCCCGGTTTTCCCTCAGTCGGGTTCTAACCCCTCAGATCCTTTAGGACCACCCTGCTTTCAGGGCCATAGGTGGCTGGGGCGCGTTCGGATTGCGTTTTTTTGAGAGGATCTCCATAGCGCGCACCCCTGGCCACCCGACCCGCGAGCTCCTACCTCGAGGCTGCGCGCGGGCTCCGGGCACAGCTGGCTGGTGCGCTACAGACTGGCGCTCATGGACTCTGGGCGCCGGCGAGCTCTCCAGGGGCTAGGGGCAGGAGCCGGGGGCGAGCTGGACCCGGCAGCGGACTGCAGGCGGCTGGTGGCGGGCGGCGGGCGGTGGAGGTGAGCGCCGGCGAGAGGGCGGAGGACCGAGGGCGGGCAGGAGCCAGCGAGCGAGCGAGCGAGGCCAGCTCCGCCCGTGACTCACCCGCGAACTCTGCCTTCATCCTCTCCCCAGCGCTGCTTTTTCCCCCCGAACTCGCGGCCCCGCCCACCTCACCTGCGGCTGCCTTTAACCCCTGCGGGCTTGGACTGGAGGCTCTACCCGGCCCGCGAGGAGGGGGCGGGCAAGAGTGGGGGAGGAAAGCTAACTAGGCCGTGCGCCGCCCGCTCCCTCGCTCCTCCCTGGTCCCCTCCACTCCCTGGGCGAGGGGCCCGGGTGGGGTGATTCCCACGTTCTAAGACCCGCCCCACTGGGTGGAAACTGCCCTCGAACTGGCTCAGTCTAGCAGGGACGCAGGACTAAGACCCGGGGGGACTGGGTAAGGGGGGCAGGTCCTGGGGGCGATACGGAGCCACCCTTAGGCGGCAACCCTCAAGTTGCCTCGATGGCTCTTGACCCACCCTCTCTGGACTGGCAGCGCTGCCCCGGAACTGGGAGGAAAGAAGGAAACAAGATTGAGCGCCAAGTATGTGTCCAGTTCGCCTCCAGGCCCGGGCCGTGAGAAATTTCTCTTGGCTGCCCTTCTTCACCATTCCCCCGACCTCGGACCCCCGGTCCCCTGCAGTGCCTCACCGCCCCTCCCCGCAGTTTCTCTCCACCACCACCCTTCCGCGTCCTTTTTTCCCTCTTGCTTTCGGGTTCTTCCTTTCTGACCTTTCTGGGTGACCACCTCCTCTCCTCCCTCCTTCCAGACTCCCCACCCACCCCCGCACCAGTCTTTGCTGCCCCCACTCGCGTCCCAGGCCCCGGCAGCTCTCACTCTGCTCCTCACCGTAGGCAGCAACCCCATTGCCTCCGAAATCCACCCCTCAAATCCGCCTTTTCTTGCCCTCCTATCCTTGGGAAAGTGCTCAGCCTACGCACACCCTCGACCCCGCTCACCCGGTTCCGAAGAATGGGCAGGCGCCTGAATGGCCCTGGGAAGGGACACTTCTGGAAAGAATTGATCTATCCCTTGCCACCACTCCTTCCTAATTCTCACCAGAATATCTAAACCCAAGGCTCTTAATTTGGGGAGGGTCTTGGATTCCTTTGACGAAAATGCACAAGCTCAGAGCAATAGGCTGGTAAAATGTCAGGAGGTTCGCGGAGCTCACAAAAACTTCTCTCAAGATCAGGATGGGTCGACATTTCAGAGACCCGCCAAGCACCGGAGGGTAGGGAAGTTCCACCCCCCGCCCACCCACCCGTCCTTCTGCCTGGGCGCCCAGGTGGCCCCATGCTTCTTTCCGGATTGACACCTCCCATGCCTTAGTGTTCACCTCTCCGTGTGACGCCTTTTTTGCAGGCAAATGTCGATGAATTTCCCCATTTATTTCGTTTTGCGGGTTGGTCTCCCTTGTGCGCTTTGCTATCGGCTTTTTAAAAATTCGTTTTCCTCTTTACAGTCGATTTCATTCTTGAATTCAAGCTGATTTAATCTCGCCTCTGCAGCCCCTATTCCATCCCACTGGTTTACCCACCCTGCATCCCCGCCTGGGGCACACTCAGACTAACTTAAAAATAGTTAAACCCGCCGGGCGCGGTGGCCCAAGCCTGTAATCCCAGCACTTTGGGAGGCCGAGGCGGGTGGATCACAAGGTCAAGAGATCGAGACCATCCTGGTCAACATGGTGAAACCCCGTCTCTACTAAAAATACAAAAAATTAGCTGGGCATGGTGGCGCGTGTCTGTAGTCCCAGCTACTCAGGAGGCTGAGGCAGGAGAATTGCCTGAACCCAGGAGGCGGAGGTTGCCGTGAGCCGAGATCGCGCCATTGCACTCCAGCCTGGGTAACAACAGCGAAACTCCGTCTCAAAAAAAAAAAAAAAAAAATAGTTAAACCGGGTCCACAAGCCGGGTGAAAATCAATCCATGTGTGTACACTTATGCGTGTGCTATCCCCGCCAGACATCTTATCCAGAATCGATGTCGGATTCATCTGTGCATCTCCCTCTTTTCTAAGGCTCAGTTCCGTCATCTGGACAACCTGGGTACACATTGGTAGAGTCTCCTGGGGGCTTAAAGAAATTGATGTGCCTAAAAATGCTTAGCCCAGGGGCCCCTGGTAAGCACCGGGCAAATGGAAGATATCCTTGTTATAATTATTAAATAAGTCAGTTCCCAGTAAATATTGTTTGGATTAAGGTATATGCACAAAGACCTGTGGACTAGAAGTTGATCGATTTAAATTCCAGTCCCAGCCCTGCAGTTGCTAAACTGGAAGGTCAGGTGACTCTAAGACTCAGTTTCCTCCTTGGTGAAATGCTGTAAGAGCAGCCACCATGCTAGGGGAAGCATTTGGAAGCTGGAGGCGCTGCCTGACATTGGGGGATTGAGATTTCTGATAAGTCTGGGTTTCCTTTTGGCCTTCTTGGTGCTTGGCACCCTGGATGTGGATTCACAGGAACTGCTCTGGATCTTTGCGCCCATGGCTAAATTGACAATCCTCTTCATCAATTCGGCTTTCTCTCCATCCATTCAGCCTGCAAATCCTAGCCAGTTGAGTTTGTATCCTAGTTCACAGCCACCTCTGGGATAAAGTAGAAGCTCATCAGAAGGTCCAAAACAGGGCCCCCAGTGGGGAACTCTGGTTCCTGATTTGACCTCTGGACATTCCTGCCTCCTCCTTCAAGCCACCTGCTGGTGCTGCATCTACTGTTCCTAAAGTGCTAAAGCCAGTGCAGGAGTCTGACTCTGGGTTAGGGGACCAAGTTCTCCCTCCCATTTATAGGCACGAGATCGCTTTCTCTTCCTGCCCCCTTCTGTCTTTCCCTGGAAAGCAACAGGGATTCAGCCCGAGGATGGTAAACTCTCTGCTGTTTTCACTCTAGGCCCCCTTTAACCCTACCCCGATCCAACCAGACCTGCAGCCATCTGGAGTCCCACAAGCAAAGAAAGACCCTTCATCTGCTGGCAGCTCATCAGCAGAAAATTCAACAACAATGTAGTTGTCTCTAGAAACTCCCAGCCATTCCGATTTCCTGCTCTGCCTAGGTTTTTGCCACTCACTCAGAGTACTGGCGCTATCTTTCTTCCAGATCCCTCTCTCCTTGCAGTCCTCTGCTTCCAGCCCTTTCCATTTCCCACTTGCTAGATGTTTTCCCACCGAACGACAGCCCATGGTCTGACACTGACATGACGAGCAAGGTCACAACAGCCCACTGCCCATATACTTATTGCTACTCAAAACTGAACAATGCAGCTCATCACATCTCCCGTATAAACTGGGATCTGTCTTGGACTTGGACCATTTCTGCTGCTCTTCCTCATTCCCTCAAATAAATAGTCAGCTTTCCCCCACAAGTGTCCACCCCCCATTCCTGCCACCCCTTTTCTTCTCAAGCTTCATCTATAGTCAGTGATCCACTTGTACCTGGAGAAACCTCATTAGTCTGCATGTTTATCACAACCAGCATTTATTTACTGAGCACCTACTATGTTCCAGGTGCTTTATACAAATATCTCTAATTCTCGTGGGCATGCAGCAAAGCAATTATTATTATTCCCATTGTACATACGAGGAAGCCAAAGATCAAAGAAGTTAAATGATCTGTCCAAGATTACAGTTGTTAAAAGACAGAAGAAGAGGCTGGGCATGGTGGCTCATGCCTGTAATCCTAGCACTTTGGGAGGCAGAGGTGGGTGGATCACCTGAGGTCAGGAGCTCAAGACCAGCGTGGCCATCATGGTGAAACCCCATCTCTATTAAAAAAAATTAAAATGACAGAAGAAGAAACTCAATTCAGATTTCTCAGGCTCCAAAGCCTGTATTCTGCCTACTAGTCCATCTGGCCTCAATATGGCAGAATTGATGACCCTGGATGTCTGGCTCCCCTAGAGCCCAAAGGCAGAAGGAGACAGCATTCTTAAATGAATCCCTAGATCAAAGCCATCTCGCCATCTCCTATCTTGAGTCTAATGGACAAACTGATCCCATCTTGAATTGCTGAGACAAGTCAGACTCTACACTTGTGATCCCTTCCAAACCTCAAGTGTCCTGTAGAGATTGCACTATGAGAATATCAAAGCTGGTCTAGCCCCAAATTGTCTAGTCCAAGCCCTTGTTTTACTGGTAGGGAAACTGAACCCCAAGACAGGGAGATTAGTAGCAAGTTAGAAGCAGAGCTGGGACCAGACCAGAGTCTCCTAATTCCTGTTTTCCTCTTCTCATTCACTCTTCTCTATTTCCCACTCCCACCTCCAGGCTGCACTTCCAAGCCTGCAAGCTGATGACCTGGATGTCAATTTATTCCTTCTTTCCCCTCCTCTCCCCATCACACTCTCCTGATTCCTAGAAAACCAGGTAGAGCCTAGAGCTGGGGTCAAATAGTTTTCTTTTATTCATCCTTTATTCATTCAACAAACACTTATTGAGGGTCTACTTAAGGCCAAGCACAATGCTGGACACTAATTTTCTCCTAAATTCCAGTATCACTAGCTACCACTATCCCTTTTCAGTCTAGAAGATGAACCCAGCTGAGGATAGTTCATCTGTAGGTTAATATGTGTATATCTACAAATGTATGTACATATCATGCCTTGTGTACCTGTGGGCTTGAGTGTAGGGTGTCTGTCTTCTGACCTCCATCATAAAGGGAGTTCCCCACAGGATGTGGATAGTGGTTACTCCCTTACTACCCTTCCAGGAGTTCTGTCATTGGGATCTTCCAGGCAGTGAGTGTGTGTGCTCTGCACTTCTATTAACATTTATTTGCCTTTCCTTTCTCTCAGAATAAAGTTCCCAGCTATGAATCCCTATCCCGCTTCACTGGGCTGACTACCCCAGCCCAGTCAAAAGACCTCCAAGGGATCCCTTTGGTTCTCCATGCAAACCCTACCAAGATCTCTCTCTTATCTCCCCCTCTCCAGTTCAGAAAGAACCAGACCCTTCTCTATGATCCCCACTTTAGAGTGGAGACCTGATCCTCTTTGTGGAGTTCCCCTGTACTGGACAGGGAACAGCCTCTCTTACCAGTCCATGGAGCCCAGAGCTGGCGGTGGCAGTGAGAGCCAAGTGGCGGTGATAAAAGAGACAGGCTTTAAA